ACACAGAATCCTCACGACACAGAAAATCACCACACAGAAAATCACGACACAGAATCCTCACGACACAGAAAATCACCACACAGAATCCTCACGACACAGAAAATCACGACACAGAATCCTCACGACACAGAAAATCACCACACAGAATCGTCACGACACAGAAAATTGTGGAGGGATCTTTCACCACCCAGAATGCAAGCACGTCACCACACAGAATCTTCACGACACAGAAAATCACGACACAGAATCATTTTTCTCACCACACAGAATCCTCACGACACAGAAAATCATGACACAGAATCCTCACGACACAGAAAATCATGACACAGAATCCTCACGACACAGAAAATCATGGCACAGAATCCTCACGACACAGAAAATCTCCTCCCAGGGTGGGGGCGAGATGTACTGGGTGTGTCACCCGCTACCAGACGGTATGTTGGGCTGCCTACCCGCTGGCCGTGGCCCGGTCGGCTCGGTCGGTCGAAAACGGCGATTTTGCAGAGCTCTGGTCCCCCCCCCCCCTTTTCTCTGCTTTGTCTCACTTGCCTAGCATATGAGCGAGTTCATAACCCGTTTCCCCATCCGCTAGTAAGAAATCCACGGTCAAGGACACATCAGGAGCTGCACATTGCGTTCGCCTTTTGTGCGCAATGGTCCTGTCGTGGTCCCAAACATGTGGCCTGCAGCCCGGAGGTGGGTGGGGAGGGGGGTCCTTCTGCCTTTGTCTATTCGAGGAAGGAGGTTGACCGGGGGCAGCCGGAACGAATTGTCCATACCTTCACTCACTTCTTGCTCCCTCCACGACACATGTGGTGCCAAAACACAGACCTCCCGAAAACATTTAAATTGGTGGTGACGATTTTTGACTTTTTCATCTGGTTGATACAGGTTTTAAAGTACCTTGGAAAGTACCTACAAAAAGACGGTATCGGTATTCCAAAAAGTACCTAGGTAACGGTACCTAGAATTGAATCTTCAGTACCTAGGTAAGGTAAGGTAGCGAGAAAAGTACCTAGGTACCTAGGAACTGTACTACCTAGGACCTAGGTATTACCCACCCCTGGCTGAAAGAGAAGTGAAAGGTACAACAAGATAACATTTACTTCCCTGCTGCGTATTCACAGTTACACCCGGTACACGGAGTAACGATGATGCTCCTATGGTGAACCCATAACAGATAAAACCTACATCGGGATACCTTTCACTTACCTTTCACAACCAGTTTCTGGCCGAAATTGTTTCTGTTT